CCCGGTTCACACCTCTTTCCTGTTTTCTCTCTTCCCCCTCTCAGGTTAATGCACTTGTTCGTCCTCTGCCTGCAAGCCCAGGTAAGTGCCCGCTTGGCCGCCCGGCTTTGTTCGCCCCTCGGGGATGGGGGGTGCCCCGCGGCCGCCGCCGAGCGCCCCGGGCTCGGGAGGCAAGGAAGGAGGGAGGGAGGAGGAACAGTGTAAAACCCAGGAGACAAAAGTCGCCGGGCTGTAAAAAGCCGAGACCGAGGGGGAGCCCCCTGGGCTGCAAAATAAGGTGCGGAGGACTCGGGCTGCGAGGCAGGGAGTACCCGGGGTTTCTAGGAATTCCACAGGGTTATTTTTAAGTAGCTTTAGGTCCCGTCCCGCCACCAGCTCTAAATGGCACTGTGGATACCCCCGTTCCTCTTGTCCGGGATTGTTTTCCTACACCGCTTCATCCAAAAAGTAAAGCAGAATGAAAAAAGGGAACCTCCCCCTCCACCAAGATCTTATTAAGAAGTGCAGATTTGGGTTCAGCTTAAAATTGTCAGACTTTAGCATTGCTGGTTTGTATCGCCAGAGACAGAAGTGTTATGAATAGATTAAACAGCCCGGGCAGAGCTCGTGCAACACCCGCATACCAGCAGGCACGCGTCGCTGGGAGCGGTGTGCCTCCAAACCGGGGTGAAGCCCCACGTCCCCCTGGGATCACAGGTGCAGAAGCTTTGTTTAAAATGCCCTTTAAGCGATTTTTTTTATTATTATTATTTTCCTGGAAGCTTGGGAGAAAAAAAAAAAAAATTGAATTTCCAGCCGAAAAGCAAAGGGAACGAAGCACTGGGAGCGTGGAGTTGTATAAAAACATAGCTGTAATATTTTGGAGTATGAGATGGAGACCAAATAGCAGCATGGTTAATGACCTCTCCTCCACATGGTACCCTCATCAGAGCCGGGGAGAGAATCCTGCTGCATTATCCAAAACCCGTCTATAGGAAACACACATGGACAGGCAGGAGCAGAGGGAGAGAGATGACATTGTCAAGGGGAGATATCTCTATAAAGCCAGCTTTGGGAGAGCAGCAGCTTCTGCTTTTATTGGGTTTTTCTGTTGTTGTTTAAGATGGGAGGAAATCTTCCCATTTGACGTGGGGGTGGCGGGGGGTAGTCCCAGCCTTCTGATGTTGAAAGGAGCTATCTCCTAACATTTGCTCAGAATACATCTTTATAAATGTCAGGGAGCAGCGAAACTTTCCAGACTTAAAAGAGGGACTTGAGACGAGGGAGGAAAAAGACTTCTGTGCAAGCTCGCGAGCCGGGGCTGAAGGGGGAGCAGGTTTGGCTGCTCATGAAAATCACTTAAAGCCCAGGAGCAGCAGCATCGGTTCTGGAGGGGATGGGCTCAGCTGGGGCTCAGGGGCTAGCAGGTTTGGTGTGCCAGGGATGGGGGCAACCCCGCTGCTGGCACCAAACAGCTGGCTGCGGGTGAGGGATATGTGCGCACAGGTAGCGTGTTAGTATCCTCGGGTTTTTATGCCACAAAGTACCTGGGCTGGGGCATAGTTTTTTCAGAATTCTTATACCTCATAGCTCTACCTTCTCTGGGGACTTTGTATTTAAAGATCTCAGTAAGTGGGGTGTTTGGGAGCAAATAAAGAGCCTGGGACACAGGAGAAAGGCAGCTGTTGAAACTGATGGGACAGTGACTAGGGTACATGTCCAGGGCAGCTGGAGCATATGCTCCTGCAGAGGCAGGGGGGGGGGGGGGGCAAAG